ATTGTTAGAATGCCAAAGTGTACCCCGTGCTAACTTCTTTTTGAAGCATGTTATCACCAATTGGAAGTCCGAACATTGGAGGCGTCTTCTGACCTATTTCTCTAAAGAAGCAGGCAATTCAGGGAAACACCGTTGGTTAAAGAATGAAATAGTTGTTTCCGTATTGCAACAACTTCTTATTGTTTTACATCAGGATGAAAGAAGAGAAACTCTAGAGCAGCTTATATCCCTCGGAAGCTTACAGTTTCTGATCCAGAGATTTAATTATGGAAAGGCAAGGGAGAAGATATGTGTTTCCGGAATTCTTTGCTCTTGCATTGAAGTTGACAATAAATGTAGAAATGTAGTTGCCAGAAATGTTGACAAGATGTGTCTGCTCAATCTTCTTCAGAATGAAGAGTTGGAATTGAGAAGAAATGCCTTTTCACTCCTGACTGAACTCATTTGCCTTAACAGGTACTTGGTTTTTCAAACATTTTCCTACAAGAATCTCTGAAGAGATTAGATTGTTCCAAAACATATATTTAAATGAAACTTGTTTTGCATTTAAGATGTCTGAAATACTCTATATTTGCTGGATTAAGATGCAGTCTTAGTGGGTAATGATAAATTGATAATGCATTGCTTTAGTTAACTCTGTGCCGCGCTCCCATATTTCAGGAGAAAAGATGCAAAGTTCTTCATAAAAGGCATTCACAAAGATAACATAGTCAAAGCAATGCAAGATTTGCTGACATATCTCCAGGATTGTCCATGTGAACAGAGATCCATGGTTGCTTTGCTGCTCTTGCACTTTGATCTTCTAGTAGGTTCAAATTTAAAGATCTCTCTAAACAAAGTTCATGAATGTTGTCATACTCTTCTACGATACTGCTTATGTCCAATTCAGTTTCTCTGAGCTTGTTACTGCAGGAGTTTTGATCTTGGATAATTTATTAAGTGAATATCAAAGGCACTTAGTGAAACACCTTCTCTTGTTTCTCAATTCTCTTATATACATATGTCATTTCCGATTCTTGTTTCTTTGCTGAACCGCAGTTTTTTTTCCGCTTGAGCTCGTAGATTGCATGTCAAGCTCAGTCAGCAGATTAGGCTCTGCTCTTCTAGACATCCAGCAATTTGGAATGTTTTTCTTTATTGGATATTCCCCCCTAAACTGCATGTTAATACTAATCGGGTTGCTAGGTTATGTTTCGAAAGACCTACAATATCTCAAAATAAATTTGGACTTAGCCAAAACCATAACACAATGGAATTTAATGATGTATATAGGCAAGTAGTTGAGATCATGACCTCTTGTTATTAAAGATTGATTAGGCTCGGACGGGGAGAAGTCTGAGATTTGGAGAAGTTCTAGTTTTAGAAGACTTCTAATTTTTCCTTAAAAAATAAATTATAACCAGCACTGGAATGAAAAGAAATGTGTTAGAATAAAGCAGAATCTTTGTATATGAATCAATATTCACAATAGCCAATCCCATCTAGTCTGTGATTGAGGAATTGTCGTTGTAGTTATTGTCACTTGTTTAAAAGACATGCATAATTTTTAAGGTCAATGTTATTTCGAGTCTAGAAACTAATTTTGTATTTGATTCTTATAGGTAGACACAGAAATGGCCAACATATACAGAGATGGTGCTGTTGATGCTATAACTATGGCCTTAGAAAGCAGCTTATCGGATGAAAGGAGCAGAGAAATATGTTGCAAAGCACTCCTTATTTTGGGAGGGCATTTTTCTTTCTCGGGGAAGATTATGACAGAAGATTGGATCTTAAAGCAAGCTGGATTTCTTGAAGGTTTTGACGTGGAATATCCTGATGAGGAAGAGAATAATGCACTGGTTGATGCAACTGTTATGACGGTAAGTTTTCTTCTTTTTCTCTGACTGAATTCATCTAAGAAATATTTTCATCGAAATACAAAATTAAATGGACTTACACCAGTAGTTACAACAATACCACTTCGGACTAATTGAACTTAGGACCAGCCAAAAATTTCTATACCCTATCTTTGTACCATCCTTTTATGGTATTTATAATTGCCCCGTAAAGTGATTCATTTACATTCTCCTCATTCTCTGAGCATTGTGAACTTTATATGGTGAAGCAAAAAATATTGTTTTCCCGTGATTGTAAAGTGTACTGAACAAAATTGTCAGATGGAGGATGAAGAAGAAGAGGCCAGGGAAAAGTGGTTGGTAAATGCATCCGCATTACTCATTGGTAGTGGAAAGAAGTCATTTGTAGAGTCTCTTTCAAAGTGGTTAGGTTCTGGAAACTCAGAATTGGTCAGGATTTGTCTAACCACAGTTGCATGGTTAAGCTCAGCACTAGCTTCACTGACCGTATCGGAGTTTGAACTATCTGCCTTTTTGGCTATTATCACTCAGCTGATAGAATGCTTACAACATGGTGATTTGGTTGAACATAAGGTTTTAGCTTCAGTGTCTCTCCTCAATTTCAGCAAAGTTTCAGGTTAGTCCTTTAGCTTCTGTTAAGACCTTTAAATAGCAGCAAAATGTTGTTTTGGTTATACATTTTTCAGTTTCTAGATAGTTTAGTAGTTAAAGAGACTGAAATTGGAGTTTGTAGACTACTGAGAAACCATATACAGGAGGTTTTTACCAAGTATTCCAAGTGACAGTTTTTGCTCTCTAACTCTAATGTCACTATCACCTTTGCTTCCTATGGTTACTACTTGTTGTTTCTGCTTCTTTTTTAGTTTTTTTTCTCTTGAGCCGGGGGTCTATTGGAAACAGCCTCTCTACTTTCGTAAGGCAGGGGTAAGATCTGCGTACACTCTACTCTCCCCAGACCCCACTTTATGGGATTACACTGGGTTTGTTGTTGTTGTTTAACTCTAATGTCACTAAACTTTATCCACTAAAGTACTCTAATGTCACTAAACTTTAACTCTAATGTCATAGAACTATCTTTTATCACATTAAAGTAACTGAACTTTACTCATTATAGCGGTAAAGTTACTAAATTTTATCCATTCTAAAGACAAAACTTACCTATCAAGGTGATTTTACTATTATAGCAAGTAATTTTTCTGGCATTTTATTGCTACAAGTAACAACAACAACAACATACCCAGTGAAATCCCGCAGGTGGGGTCGGAAGAGAGTGTGTACGCAGACCTTACCCCTAACCTTCTGAAATAGTATTGAGACTTCCATTTCAAACAAAACAAAGTTTTGTGACATTGCTTTTATAGTGGTAAAGTTTAGTTACTGTAATATGACAAAAAATAATTTTGTGACTTTACTGTTATAGTGGATAAGGTTCAGTGACTGAATGTGCAATTTACCCGTCGGAACTTAGAAGAGAACATCTATGTCATCACTTTCCTCAAGGGGGTTGGTATACATGAACAAAAAAAAAGGATAAGCACTGCTAGTGTGGGGATAATGCTCTCAGATTTTACTTGTTAGTAGATAAGAGAATATGTGATTCCTAAAAATGGTTTCAACCTCACATTTGTTGATTATTTGATTTCTATCTATTTTTATTTGGCTATTTAATTCTAAGGTTTTGCCCCTAGAATGTAGGGTCTTACTGATGATGATAGCAGAGGATATTGCTGCTCCTCTAGAAACCCTTGTCGAAATTACATGGACAGCAAAAGAACTTTATGCTATAATTTTCTGCAGCTAGAGGTGAAAACTGAGGACAAAAGAATACTCAATTTGCTGTGAAAAAATGATGCTTTGATTTGTATAATAACATTTTGGTTGTAAAATCTTTTTCCTTTATTTATCTGTTTCTTCTAAAGAAATGCTAGTCGGGGGTCTATTGGAAACAACTTCTCTGCCTTCCCAGGTAAGGATAAGGCTACGTACATCTTACCCTCCCAGACCCTGCTGGTGAGAATTCACTAGGTTTGTTATTGTTGTTCTCAAAAAATGTAAGGTAAGACTGTGTACATAAGATCCAATGTGGTCTGGTCCTTCCGGGATCCCATGCATAGCCTGAACTTAGTGCACCAGGTTGTCCGTTATCCATTTCTTCTTTAAAAAAAAGGAGAAAGTTTGGGTGGTTAATTGTAAATCATGTGAATAAACAAAATTAATGACTTTTTGTCGACTTGCTTTTCAACTCTTTCTATTTCTTGTTTGCTAGTATTTTTATAGCCTGTTTGGCCAAGATGGAAAAATCAGCTTATTTTGAGAAGTGCTTTTCCTCAAAAGTATTTTTCTCAAAAGTATTTTTGGTGAGAAGCAGTTTCTATTTGGCTAATTAATTTGAAAAACACTTCTTAGCAGCAATTAGTATTTGGCCAATTAAAAACTGCTTCTAAGTGTATTTTTCTCAAAAGTACTTTTCAAAAAAGTGTTTTTGGATAGAATTTATTTTTTTCTGATTCTCCAAAATTGCTTCTGCTTCTCTTCAAAAGCATTTTTTTTCCTTCCAAAAGCTTGGCCAAACACTTCAACTTTGGGAAAAAATACTTTTTTGAAGAAAAAGTGCTTCTAGGATCGGAGAAACTTGGCGAAATATGCTATTAGCCACCTACAGTGATGGTACTTCATTTCCTGAAATCACAATGTTACTTCTTTGTTATGAAATAACACTACTAGGGATGCGGCCTTTCCCCGAACCCCGGGTGAATAATGTTACTGCTTTCCTTTTATAATGTTACTGCTTTCCTTACTTCCTTTGATAATTCTTTGATGTATTTTGCATATTATTAGACACTAATATGATCTTTCTGTAGCATGTTTCAAGTCCCTTTGAATATAATTTTCTTTGCTATTACCACTACAAATTTCAATTTATGAAGAAAAATATCTTGTATTTTATATTTGAAATTCATTTATTCGATTAAATTAAATTTGTATGGTGTAAAGTTCTTTATTTTTAAGGCTCGAAAGGGTGAAGGAGTCACACAATCAGTCCACCACACTTCTTGATTAAAAAAATTACAATCTTTCTTATTTCAACAAACTTTCATTTTATCTTGAAATAATAAGAGAGAAGAATAAAATACTGAAAAGTAGAGGAAATTGGAGCACGAAATGAGTACTATAATATAGAATTACAATTTTGACAGATGTGCCAAATTATTGCTGAAACACAACATTGTACATAGAGAAAATATAATACAAGATTTGGAATTAAGCATTGCGTCTTTATTTTTACTCCTCCTCCTTGGACAGCTTAATCACCTGAAATTATTAACATAATGCAGCATTAGGCACTACAGTATTCAGAAAAGAAAGAAAAACTTCACCAATTAGAAAAAGTAATTTTTATTGTTTTATGTTTTGTGAGTGTCGAACTACTTTTTGTCCAAGTAATTAAAAGTTCAAAAAGAGATATTATAAGATACACTTCAACCGAAAGAATTTTCAAATTTTATACATGTAGAATTTAAAACTTGCTACTATAATAGAAAACATGAATTAATCTAAATATACGTCAATCCAATCGCTTAAATAAAATATAGTCAGCGAATATATAATATATTCATAATTCATGTGTAATATGTGTATAATCTAGTTATACTTGCTAGAAAAAGTAAACAGTAAATTTGCTCAGCTATTTATGTAAAGATCCCTTTATAACCGGACGGATTTACTGTTTACTTTTTCTACCCAGTATATATAGATTATATACTAATTATACGCGATTATATACATATTCTATATGAATTATACATATATTCTACATCTGTCAGCAACTTTTAGTTTNAACTTACTTGCACACCCTTGCAAGGGCTATTAATAGGACAAGTAGTATATTGAAGAGCCATCAATTCAAGTTCGTACACATCCTCTGCATATTCATAGCAAGGGCAACTAGTACCAAGTATGCTCTTGAATGTTGGGCAGCATGGAGCAATTTTAGTTGTGTTGACCATGCACGTGTCAATCTTTGCTTTGTCACTAGCCGAGCAGCTCGAACTCGGTGTGGGTGTGGGCGGGGGCGGGCTTGGTGGTGGTGGTGGAGGCGAGCATGGTGGTGGAGGTGGAGGCGGACATGGTCGTGGCCGTGGAGGAGGATATGGATATGGTCGTGGCCACGGAAATGGCCATGGTAAATAACATGGAATGTCCCATGGCCAGAGCTGTAACTCGGTCTTGTCATTGGCTACGGCCATTTCTCTGGCCACGGCCAATTGGTGGCTGCAAAATAAAATTACAGCCACCATTAACATGAGCATAGTTTTCATGGTTGTCATTTTTTCACTGAATAGTTTTGTGCTACAATTAAGTAGGTGATGATATATATGATTCATCTATATATAGATAAATTATTAGAGTTGCTATGATAGGTAGGATTTGATATTTTAAGTATATGATGTATCACGTGTATCACATGCAAAAGAAGTTAAACAATCAAGTCTTTTAAAAATGGCCAAGTGATAAGTATTATTGGATAATTCAAAAATAAAAATTGACTGGATAAAAAACCTAGACCATACCTCCTATTTTCTTGAATTTTCAAGGTTTTAAATCTATTTGTGATATTTTTGTAGTACTCATTCATTTGATGTTATACAAGATTTTGCTCTTTCTAATTGGGGAAACTCTGCCTAAAAGAATATTATAATTAGGTTATGCTTCCTTAAAAAATAGTTTCCATTAGATTAAACGTACAAACATTAAAATGATGTACTATAAATTTCTTGGGCTCACATCATTAAATTAGTCATAGTAAAAGTAGTTGGTAACTAACCGTAAGCATTTAAATTTTATCGAATCTAAATCGATAAAATAATTTGGATTATATTTTAAATTCAAGATATTTTAGTCCAAACAAAATTTATTGGGCTAATATAATTGGATTAATTACATAATTCAATATATATGGATTAAATAAATAAGTCTAAATTCATTGGGCTAACCCATTTAATTGGGCTACAAATGATGAGCCTATTTCTTTAGGCCCAAGATATCATCTTTCTAGAGGCCCAGTTTGGTGCCACACGTGAAATGGCGTGGCATGCCAAGTCAAGCGGAAGAGCCAATAGGATCGTGCCATGTGTCAAAATGACAAGGCATGCCAAGTCAGATTAAAGGGCCAGTGAAACTGCGCCACGTGTGCAAGTGACATGTTCTGGCCAATCAAATGCGGCCTTGTCACACTTCACTTTGATTGGTCGGAAAGAGTTTGTTCTTGTCATAACTCTTCCCTCCCACGACTAAAAATATGGGTCTTTATAACTCAGAAAAGACACCAAAGGTTATAACAAGTAGCAAGAAAGAGCTCGTGGATCAAACGCTGCAAATTCCTCCACAAGTTTCAAGTTTCAAGCAATCAAGTTCAAGTTCAAGCTCAAGAACGAAGAACCAATCAAGTTCAAGCTCAAGAACGAAGAACAAATCAAGTTCAAGTTCAAACAATCAAGCTCAAGCTCAAGAACGACGAACAAATCAAGATTCAAGGAGTACAAGTTCAAATCAAAGTTCGTTCTAGTTGAATTCAAGATCATCATTCGTGACAACAAATATAGGTTCAAGATCAAGCTCAAAGGCCCTTGAATTTATTTACTATTGAAAAGAAGAATCAGAGGATTCATAGAGATTGTACACTCAAATTATTTGAAATCAAATACTACGATTGTTGCAATATTTTCAGTCTCGATTATTTTTCTTGACGCAAATTTATTGTCTACAAATTCTTAAATTTTGTTTGGACTAAAATATCTTGAATTTAAAATATAATCCAAATTATTTTATCGATTTAGATTCGATAAAATTTAAATGCTTACAAATGCCCCCTGCTTCAGGGCTTGTCGGGTATAAAGTCATCAAATCTTCGAGACTAGACTTGAAGTATCTCGAGATAATAGCATATAGAGCACATATAAATCATTTATACGGATCTATACTACGCTGGAAATTTTGAATC